GCATGGGGGTGATGCCGAAGCCGCTGTGGTTCGACGTTTACGCCGCCTTCCCCCCGCTGCGGGAGCCCCTGTACCGGGTGCCGCGGCCGCGCCTGGGGAAGGTGAAGGATGTCATCCCGCCCGTCTTCTACCCCGAGGACCGAGTCCGAGCGTGAGTCCCCGCGTCCCCCACCCCGGAGGGTGCCTGAGCTCGGCCCTGTACCGGGGATATCCCTCAGCCCCTCGTCCCCAGCCCTGCGGGGCTGCCCGGTGTCCCCTCGGGGACTGTTTCTCTGGTGTGGCCGCCGGTGGGTGTCTATCCCTGGTGTCTCTGCGTTAATGCTCTATATTGTGTGTTACATACACAATACCCATCGCTGCGGGGGGCAGGAGGCAGCGTTTGCCAGCCCTTGCCCGCGACAGGATGGCTGTCAGCCCGTTGACACCCGGCGTGACGGTGGTCCCCGGGCTCAGCGGCGGTGAATATTAATGGGAATTTATTACAGCAATTAAAAAATTCCAGAAGTAATATCTCTACAACATAATAGCCAAAGGACAAAGGAGGAATAGTTATATGAAAGCTTTTTGTTGTCGCCTGAATTAACCGGCTCTGATGTTTATTTACTCCAAGACGTGCCCCTCTTTTGATGGTTTGAAAAATGAAACTTGTTTATTTTTTGGTGATAGGAAATTTTACAGAATTTATGGCAGTGGTCCAAAACCTTTTGACCTGTCTCACTTGAACTACAAATCTACTTGCCAGAGGTAAGATTTATTTGTGATTAAACTAGAAAAATTTCTGAAATGTCTCCCTTTCTCCTCTTAAGTCGGCAAGCCAGAATGTTATTTGTGAGAGTCAAAATCTAATCTTGAAATCTAGGTTTGTTGAAAAATACAATGAACTGAAAGAAGGAAAAATTGAAGAAGAAAAATTGTTTGAAGAAACAGGAAAAGCCCTTTTAGCCAGCGGGATAATTTTACTGAGAAGAGGAACAGACAAAGTAAGTATTGAACCTTTGCAGAGTGACTTGGCCGGTGGATTTGGGAAACTTCCCTTCCAGGCCCCTAATGCTGAGTTATCCAAATTAAAGTCTCAGCGAGACAGTCACACACTCGAGGGTCGTAATAAGATGTCTTTTCAGAGTAAACTTTCCTCTTAGTCGTGAACGTGACTGGCCAAGGTTCAGGTGCTTCTTGTGGGGCAGACAAGAGAAGTGCTTGTGCTGGCGGCGAAAGATTTAAGCCTTCGGTGCTTTCAGACCATCTGTGGGTGTGTCTGTGTAAATGGTTGGGAAATAATGTGTTATGGCAGGTGGAGTCTAGTTCCTTATTACTTCAGGTAATTGCATGAATCTTACATAAAATGGGGTAAAAACCAGCCTGAAGATGCTTCTCGAATGGCATGGTGGGTGTGGAACATGGCTGCTCTGTGATGGCTGGAAACCTTTTAACTTCCTGACGGACTGGTGACCATCCTCTTAGCTGAACACCCCCGAAAAGAGAGGAGGCTGCACTTTAAACTAAATTAATTTATTCTTCTTTGTAACACACTCTCCGTTCTCCTCGTTGTACACTTTGGACCGAGCATCTTGAGTGCTTACCCCAGGAAAAGAGGCTGAAGAGGAACAGAAACTGGTTCTGCTTTAGGTGCTCTAAATCACTGACTGACTTTCATCTTTTCCCCTGAGGTCAGCAGTCTCGTTTTGAATTTCTTCCCCCGGTGATAGCTTGACACTGTATTGTACCTTGACAATAATCTAAGCACGAATTAGAGCTTTTCTATCGGCTTTTTTCGGACATGCGCGGGGGGGTTGTGCCTTTCGATTGCTCTCTTCAGTCACGCTTCAACAGAAGCTTTTTACAACTCTGGTTTTTTGTCGTCGTCTTGTTTTTAACTGTAGGTAGCGCAACAGGATCACCGAGATGGTGAAACCAGAGACTCTGTATTACACCTGCAGCTTCAAACTGTGCTGGAAGAGATTCAGGAAAAGAAGAAAGATCAGCAGGAGCAGATGTCAGAGCTGCCAGAAATACAGAAGGAGAATCCCTGACCCTCCTAACAGCCAGGCTGTCGCCCGGTGACGCTCAGCTGCAGGATGTGCCCTGGCTGTGGCAGTTCTGCCTCCACAATCTCACTGTTGCGAGACTTTTTCTTACAGGGAGTAAGCCTCAGTTATCAGCTCTAGTGCCTTCCCTGATCATGTGTGGGGCGAACGTTCTCGTTCTTGCATCTGCTCACTTGTAAAATGGAAGGGAATAAATTTTTTTTGAGGTTTAATAATATTATCTCCAATTATGAGTTGGAAAAGGAAACATTGTATTTAAAAATGGGAAGCCCTGTCTCTTCATGTGTCTTATTTGCAGCAGTAAAAATGTTTCTTAACTTATTGCACCTGATGGTGGAGGTCTTGTGACAGTCCCGCTGTTGAAAGCGCAGATGCCACTTGCCTGACGCCTTGTCGCAGCCGTCTGAAGTGTCATCTTTTTATAGCTAATTGAGGAGAGCTGCTATTTATAGAAGTACAATAATATGCTCTTCGTATGGCATCGTTTGCTTAAATTCAGAGTAGGATAGAGTGTAACAATACCGATAATTCAGACCTTTGTGGGTTTTTTTAGTGATTCAGTGAAATTGGGCACCTCAAAAGTGTGGAAGATGCGGTGCTACAGCTGTTTGCTGATGAGAAGGTTCAGTGCTGCTACAAAAATAGTCCTGGAAACTTCGGCATCGAACAGCCTGAGAAAATAACCGTCAGTCTTACCAGGATCTGGAGCGGATTAGAATTCCATTCTTCCCATGCCTGCAAACTCCAGTGCCTAGCTTATTTTTATTAAGGCTTTGGGCTGTATGAAAAACAATTACTGTTTGTTTTTCTCCCCTTTTTTTGTTTGTTTTTCTCCCCTTTTTTTGTTTGTTTTTCTCCCCCTTTTTTTTTTCTCTTTTTTAAAAAAAACCAAACCACCAGTAACAGGTGCAAATCATGTCAAACATTTCTCCCTCCTTCTCTGCCTCTCCCCTCCAAGGACCAGGGGGATTTCCTTTTGCCTGCCTCCCAGACACATTCCCCACAACGCAATTCAGTGACGCTGCTGCTGTCTGGGATGCAAGAAAACTCTCATACCGCTCTGTATTGTACAGCAGTAAAAAGGAGGATTTAAAAATATCCCTGGTGGGTTTTTGTGGGGCTTGATGCCCTTCCTGGCAGCAGTGCAATCACAGTAGAATTACTGGGTTATCCTTGGAAGGTCAAACTTTGTTCTTAACTCTGCTCTGTCATTCTAGAGCAGTGCAAAATTTAGTTTCAAAGAGCAAAGCCCTCTGTCTTAGCACTGCTGGGAGCTCTGGAGGATCTGATTTCTGCCCGAATCCCTAAATCCAGACACCACAGCCCCTTACAGAGGGGAATTCCCAGGCAGTCCCAGTCTGGGAACCACCCTGCTGGGTTAACGGGAGGAGAAAAGTTGGTGTAAACCGATGAAAAGTGGGATTCAGTGTGAAACAGCACCAGAGAGGAGCTGTGCCAAGGGAAAATCGCAGCGATCCCCTCGCTCCTCGGCAGCCAGGCTGGGGATGGGGCTTTCTCTCCTGTTTGGCTGAGGACCAAGGTGAGCTGCCCTCAGTGGGAAATCTCTGGCAGCTGGGATGTGAATTTCCCTCCTCCTGCCCAGTTTTCTTCCTTGGGCCAAATGATTATCCCCAGCCCAAGGGAGGAGAGGCCAACAGCTCCAGATCTCCTCTGCTGCAGCTTTGTGTCTTTGCTTCTGTGGATTTTCAGAGAGGCAGAAATTTTATTCTGAGCATTCTGGTTTGCATTTTCAGGTGGTGATGATGCTCGTAGCTTGCCAAAAAACTTGCCAAGGGAAGTGCTTTAAGAGGAGAAGCAGATGAGACATTTCTCACTCACAGCTCAGGGCTCTCCTGTTTGGTGTCACTTCTCTGATAAATACTTAAAGACCCTTTTCCAGCTCCATCCTTACTGAGCTCGGCTGTGTCTGCAGTCATCCGAAGCATATTGAGCGATAATGTATTAAATGCAGAACAGACCAGAGCCTTGCTGTGTGCCCTGAGTTCCTGTGCAGAGCAAACAAGAAGCAGGAAATAATTTTCTCTTTTATTCTGTGTTAGAAAAAGTTCCTGGGGCAGTGGGGCTGGGAGGGAGAAGCAGTTGGCGATGTTCTTCTGCGCTGCAGGTTTGGGGCCGGTGGGTAACGGGGAACCTGCTGGGTGAAGGATGTGAGCGTAAGAATTTGGTGCAATTAGGAGAAAACGCAATTAAGCCCAGAGTTCGGCGTCCGTTTGATGGATGAATTTGCCGGGCAGGGATTGAAATGCCAATCGCCGTGACCTTCGAGTAACTCAACTACTTTTAATTAAAAGCTTTGAGCGAGAGCCTGGGGTGAGCTATTTATTATTTATCAAGCATTTACCCTCCAACCGCCAGCGAAAGGTCAGTGGCTCTGCGGGAGGAGGGTTGGGTGGGCGCTGGGATGGGAAGGACCTGGACGGCTCGGTCCCCCCCCC